TGTTTTAGTGGTTCTTCAACTAGTTTCTATTCGTTTTTTTGTAGTGAAGCCCGCAGTCCGGGAAGTTCTCAAGCGAAGGCGATTTCACGACTGGAGGAATCCTATCCATGGGCATTTTCGAAAGCTTTCTCTAGTCCTTTTTTCACGACGCCTCAGTTACCACCTCCGGGTGTGAAGTGTTACTTCCTAATCGCGGCGAAACAGATGCTGCAAGCGAGGCGACGGATGCAGCATTCCCACTAGGACCTAACTCACTCAACGTGGCAGCGGCGCTGCGCGTCGACTCTGTCTCGTAAGTCAGCTTAAACTGCAATGCTTCGGTAGGGAAGCAACACCCTACCTCCTAGCATCTCATGCTTCACATTCAAGCGCCACTACCCTATTCTTGCCATCGTACCCTGCGCCTTCAGAGAATAGACAGAACAATGTTCAAAGTGGCGCAGTACTCACGTTACAAATTTTCGTCGCTAGATTGAAGTGACTCTGAATACTTTGTCGATCATTCGCTGCTGGATCAGTATGGCCGTCACGATGGCGACCTCCATCAAGAGCCGCAAGTGGATTGAACATTGGCACGTTTTTCCTTGATGATAACGCCTTCTCGTAAACTTTAGCCGCTTCTGATGGAGAATACTCTTGAACTTTGCTAAAAATCACATTGATTTCTTCCATTCATTGGATATTTATTCGTCTCATTCGGTTTACACCACTCACGCTTCCGTAAATCCATAAAGTTTCATGAGGAAGTTTTTGAGGTAGAGTAAAATAAAGCACGCTTGACTGTTGTCCATGAGGTCATATAGTGGGCCTTTTTCTTCGGGGAAACGGTCTGCAAATAAAGCATATGCGAACAATGGAGCTATAAAAACAGAAAGAAAAACTATTACTATATAGTGCTTCAGGTTCGAACAGAAGGTCATCATCATCAACTTGGCTTTTCGGCTGTTGATGCGGTGAATAGTACGGCTGGCCAGCTCGCAGATGTGCTTTGCATTGGACGAGTAACGACTGTCCGGATAAAGACACTATCGAATCAATTGTATGGATGACATAAAGCGGCTCATCCATAACCTGAATAATAAATTAAAATAATTAAGAACAATAAGTTCACAAGCGTCGAATAATTAATAAAGGTACTGGGCACGACTACTGGAAGTGGCGGTTGTTGACAGTGTTATTGGTGTAAGAGCTAAAAGAGGGCGTCTGGCCACACCCCACTCAGCCCTTCGACCAATGATGTTGGCGGTAACCACCCGCCCTCAGCAATCAGGCCCACTGCCTTTAAATTTTAAGAGACAAAAGGCAAACCTGATAAGGGAACATGGCAATGTTATCCGCCACGAAAATCCATTCTTCTAACCGGAGTTTCTCCCTGGAGTCCTCGCTGAAGAGCCTGAAAAAAATCTCGATAATACCCTTCACGAAGTACACCAGAAATTTATATTTAACACACTGACGACAGCGTCGTCTTCTTATTTCTGCAAAAAAAGCTCTCATGCTATATGGCTCCTATCGAAACAATGCAGGAGGGCCAGAAATTATGCAGAAGCTATTAAGCTTCTGTTGCCTTCGAATACTTTCACCATAAACTATTAGGTTGTCCGGAAAGGAATGCGCGTTGAATTTTTTGAACTTGTCCATTTTTTTCTCTCCTACTATAGAAGATTTTTGGAGACAGTTTTGTCTATTAGAAAGAGATTTTTATTGTGCTTCTTTTGATATATTTTTGTCCATGTCTACTTTGCTTTTTTTGGGGAAAAAAGTTGGGAAGAGCGGGTGCCGCACCAGCTGAGCGACGCAAACAAGGCAACACGAGTGGCAATGGCCGGAATTCTTCTTCGTCGCTCCAAGAACAGCGGTTTTTTCGACTCTATTATTACATCAAATGAGAAAAGGGTCTGCTTCGATAACGCAACGAGAAAAGGACAGTGGTTAGACTCCAGTGACCCTCCAAAACGGACTCCGAAACCTGATATACGCGGCAAAAAGGTGATGCTCCGTGTTTGGTGGAATAGCAAAGGTTTGATGTACTTTGAAGTTCCGGAATCGGGTCAGACGGTTACGGCGGACATCTGCAAACACCAATTGAACCGCATGGATCCAGCACTGCGTCTTCAAAGTGTCGAAACGACGTCGACAAAATTTATCCACGACAACGCTCATCCACATGTGGCGAAAATCACTCTAGAAAAAAATTGAGGAATTGGGCTGGAAAGTCCTGCCTCATCCGCCACACAGATCAGACCTGGCACCATCGATTACCATCTGTTCCGGTCGATGCAGAACTCCCTGGCCGAGAGAAAATTCACAAACCGCGAAAAAGGTCCAACTCTGGGTGTCCAACTTCTTTGAGTCGCAGCCGGTCGAGTTCTTCAGAAGAGGAATCCATTTTTTGCATAAATGTTGACAACAAGTCATTGATACTAATGGAGATTGTCTTTTGAATTTATCTTGTTTAATTTCGTTTTTATAATAAAAAATTTTTTAAGCTCGAACGCGCATTCCTTTCCGGACAACCTAATAGAATTCATGAAGTTGTTGTACCTGATGCACGCGGAATCTCGGAGCAAACTTGGAGGGTGGCCATTCCTTAGCACCAGAATCTACAAAAGGGATTCGATCTCAACCCTCCCCCTCCCCTTCGTCGGAAGTTACACCGGTACACTAGCTAACTGCTCGTGAAGTATAAATTGTACATCTACAAAAATGGACTTTTTTACTTCGGATAAGCACTTCCTTTGACCTCTGGGGTAAAATAATCACAAAGAAACATCCGCAGGAGCTGTAATTACCATAAAATCTACAATGCCTTCTCTTGTCAATATGTGGTTGTTAGCAGTTTGTGATATGTTCAAAAGCGCTTTTTACTGATACCATATCCCAGCATTGCGGCGCATTTTCGCCAACGTATTGAGGGAATATAGTCCTAAACTTTTTCAGTTCAACGATTCTTTATCCAAAAGTACACCACAAACCGTTCCCGAGTTTTTTTTTAGCCTGAGGAGCCCCTGCGTGTTTTGCTACACTCGTCCAATACAAAAAATATTTATGATACGACAACGGGGTATGTCACTTTCGGGATCCCCACCGCAAGGAGTGGAGCCATACTTTTGAAAATATTCCTCAACACATGCCTATCCCTTTCTTGGGTCATTTGATCGCAGTGCTCCAAAGAGAGAAAAGACCGCTAATGACGACGAAACAAAATGTAGAACGAAAAGAAACATGTAGTAAAGACGATGAAATTGCAAAAGATCGGCTTCCATGAAGATTGGGCCAACTTCATGAATATCCGAATTGTTAATTGGATATAACTGACAACTGAACCGGGCCGTGAGACATTTTTTACAAATATGTGACGATGCCCCGTGACCAGAAACCCACCGGCCCTCCGTTATTTTCTCCACAGTTTTACTAACAGGGGCAACCATCTATTTCAGTAATATGAATTGTTTGATTGTAACTAGCTATATAACAACAAGTTTCCGCACTGATGGTGCCATTCCACCCTTACGGCTAAAACAACTCGAAAAAATTTTCGCTGGCACTCTGCCAGTAGATGTTATTCGGTGCCCTGATCACGAAATGACACCAGTTTCAAACGATGGCGCCAACAGGCACAAATTTGACGCGCCAACTTTCTTAACAAATCGATGAGAACTCGCACACAGGGGTATTTGATATCCTGACGACGAATATCACATCTCCTTTTTTGCGCCAACGCCACTTTGCGAAAAATGACGCCGATCTGGCTCGACCACCTTTTCACCAAATTCGATGGAAACTTGCCCAATAGTGTTGACCGATATCCTGACCAAAAATATAACGTTCATTTTCCAATACCTGCGCAATCTTGGCTTCTTCTATGACTGAGCCTGGAAACAGGAGTGATTCCCTTCCGAACGGGCTCCTTGTCAGCCTTAGGAGAGCGCAGATGGTCATGTACAGCGTTAGCGTCGGCGCCAAAAACGAATGCCAGAATCAGGACGATTCGTGATCAAGATGTCAAATAACCCCCTTATACGAGTTTTCATCGTTTTGGTGAGAAAGGTGGCGGCGCCAAATGGCGCCAGCGTTCAAAACGAGTGTAATACTCGGTCAGGGTACCAAATTATTTCTATGGGCAAAGTTTCAGCGCAATAAAAAACATGAGTTTGTCAGAGAAGTATTAGTTTCCAATTTATGGAAATAGTAGTTATCTCTAGAAATAACGTGCAACATTACAGAACACAACATACCTTAGGACACTAGTGAGAAAAGATCTACGATGCTGCCGATTACCGCGAAGACGCTGATACAGACCGCTTAGCACCGCTTGCCCATCATTGGAATGACGCGGAAGACCGGTTGAAGGATCAATACGAGCTAAACAATCAGTCTGAGGCCTCAGTTACAGCAAAAAGGAAACCAACAGATTATTTACCGCCAGTGGTAGCATATGGGGATACATCACATGCACGAATACCACGAATAATTTGCACGCCATTAGAAGTGGATTCACGGATGTGTAACTGGAGCTGGTAAGCCTTACGTACACCCTGTGTAGCGGTGCTCTGGAAAAGAAAAAAATCGAGGATACCCAAAAAAAGAAAACACTGTAGGTACAAAACCTGGATCATTCCGGCGTATTTTGCATCGATATCCTTCAACATCCCCTCTACTCGACTTCGAACCATCGGTAACGGATCTGTGGTCATGGCTATCAGTGTCGCAATCGATGTACCCGGCGTAACCAAGCCTTGCGTATACGTAAGATTCGCCACCTGCAATTATTATCCGCTGAGTAATTCAAGCAGCATACCAAAATCAGATATCACAGCTCAGTCTGATTGTATCTTCATTCATTATTTGATTGTTTCAACCCAAAAAGAAGTGGGAAGGGTAAAAGGGTCAAAACGGCGTAGAAAGGGAAAAGTTTAAAGCTAAAAAAACATACTTGCGTAAAGAAGCTAATAATGGGATTCGACGAATTAACAACATTCCAAGCCACCTTCAGATGTTCCTTTAAAGACACTCCCCGCGATCAAGTGGTCCTCAAAATGACTTCGTGCTTTTTGGAACCCTCTACGCCTTGACGAAGATGATACCACTTTCATCCCTCAATATGGCGCGATAAGGAAGTTATAGCGATTTCCACAAGGCTCGCTAGGCTCGCTGACACGGTAGGTGGACGAGGCGTCCGGTCCCGAGCTGCTTCCGTCCCTTTAAAGTATCCTATTTCGAAAGTCGGGACGCAATTGCGGCTGCCGCC